CATCGATTTTTGAAGTTGACAACACCAAAAAAGAAGCAAGTCTGCGAGACTTTTTCAAAAAATGAAAGTTCACAGCGACGAAATTCAGCGAGACTTCATCATTTTGTGAAGTTGACAACATTGAAAACGAAGCAGGTCTGCGAGACTTTTTCAAAAATGGAAGTTCACAGCTCCAAAACGACGAAATTCAGCGAGAATTCCTCAGTTTTTGAAGTCGACAACATTAAAAACGAAGCAGGCCTGCGAGACTTTTCAAAAAAACGAAAGCTCATGGCTCCAAAACGACGAAGTTCAGCGAGACTTCATCGCTTCTTGAAGTTGACGTCAAAAATGAAGCAACTCTGCAAGACATCCTGCAAAAATGGAAAGTTGAGTGCAAAGCTGACGGCCTCGTACCAATGCGTTTTGTGATTTTTCTGTCCCATCTCTCTAAAGCATTGCCCCTGCCTCTAAATAGTGCAGCCAGGTCATACGAAGTGCTGCACCTGTCACGCAGAATCATCTTAGCAAACTGAAGATCTGATACCCCAAAATGCAACCCCTCTCAGGAAATCAGCGCCCTGACCTCTTAATAAGTCTGGTGGCTTGCACCTCTTCAACAGCTGAACTTCCAAAAGTTCTCCGAGATGATGTGCTTTGAACATGTTGACTTCGAAAGCTGCTTCGCGCCACAGCCCGTGCAATTTTTCAACAGCTTACCTGCCAAAGTGCTCTGAACCCGAGGTGCTTTTAAAAGTTTGACTTGGAAACGTGCTTTGCGCCACAACGGCGTGCACTTTTTCAACACCTCAACTTCCAAAAGTGCTCCGACGTTGTTGTGCCTTCAGCATTTTGACTTCAAAACGTGCTTTGCGTCACGGTGGCGTGCAATTTTTGATCTCTCGTACGACCAGATGGCTTCGCACCCGCCGCTTTAGCAAGCCTACTTTTCGACCCTCTGGGGCCACAAAACATTGGAAAAACAGTGTTCCGCGACTTTCCTACCATTTTCGCGCGCCTGCATTTTTTTTTTCTTCTGGCTCTTTCTCTTTTCTGATCTTCTTTCTTCTTCCTTTCTCTTCTCTGACTCTTCCCACCTCTACTTTTCTATTTGTCCATGTTGTCGGAAGTTTGACTCCTGAACTTCCTTCGACCATCGGATGATCCAACCCTTGGATGAAAATATTCATGGATGTTGCGATCCATCTGAACCAAGCCAGTGGTGCATGACAAATCCTCAAACCTATCATATTCTCATAGTGGAGTGATAAAGCTTTGAGTAATTGAGGCAGGACCTATCCTTGAAAGATGAATTTGATTGCTCGGGACATCCATGATTGATCAATCCCAATCTTTGAGACAAACCCAAGTGTATCAACTCTTTCACGGCTCTGCCAATCCTACAGGCAATCCGACGCAAAAAGCACAAAACAGCTCATGGTCCTTGGCTTCCCCCGGGCTCCCAATCGCTTTTGGTTTCTCTGAAAATCGGGTATCCCGAAATCTGATGATTAACCATCATTGTCCTTATCTATTCGGATCTATTCAGGGGTATACCCCATTTTCAGATCCCTTTGTTGTTTTTTGCTTCAAAACGCACTCGCTGCGCTCGGCGAGAAACTCGGGTGATACCGGGGAGGTGTGTTCCGAAATCGGAAAGCTGGGCTGGTGGAGACTGTGTCGACCCAGTGTCTGTGCACTACTTGTGTTCCAAACACATGGATATAAAAACCAACAGAAAAGGGACGTAAAAACCCACTATTTTATGGATGCTTGTGGGGGAATGAAGCGGGCAAGAATTCCACGAATCCATACCCTTCGGAACATTCACTTCTTCTTGTCTCTCTTATCCAGTTGTACCACGCTTTACAAACTTTCGACATCCACCAGCAATAGATTCATTCGTGCAGCCACAAGCTTTTCGTTGTTAGCCACCTTTTTTTGATTGCCAAAAGAATCGCGCCCAACAGGCCTCCAACACGCTTCAAGTTTGTCTAAGTCCCACGCCTTGACTTGTGTGATTCGTTTCTTCTGGTTGTTCTATCACCAAGCTTGAAGCCACTGGCATTTTTGTTGATTTGCGCATTGTCATTTCAGAGTCCGCTCTTGCTGTGCCAAAATTTGACCATCTGTAAGTGAATACCTTAAAATGGAGACTGAAAGCCACCAAATAGTTTTTTTGGTCAAGCTAGTTCCCTTGGGCATTTCTGTTGTGTCGATTAAATCCACCTTGCATTGATCCATGTTGATTCTATCCCCACACTGATTGAGGTTCAATGACCCTCGGGACATCAGTTTCTACAAAGCATCAGGCCTTTCGAAAGGGCGCGAAGCTTCAAAACGATGACAGCAGCAGTCGTTCAGGGATGACTAGTTGCTGGATAGTGCTTGCATATGAGACTCCCATGAGACCGGAGGCGTCCAGATCTGAATCCATGGGTTGCAAATGGCCAAATGGCCACTACTCATGTTGGCGTGACAAGCACCATGAAGGGCCAACCAGACTATGACAATGGAGAAAGTTGGAACTGTGCAACTCCAAACACAGTCTCAAGCGACTGGCTGAACATCTATGTTGTCGCGATGCCTGATTTTGTCGCCAAAAGAATGTGTCACTCGGGTCACAAGCTCCACATGTGTTAACTGACATCAATTTCTCACAACCAGGAAACATCCCCGAAGTTCCACAATAGCCAAATTTAGTGGACCAGCTTCCATGCCTCTCGGTATCGACCACCTGGTCGCACCAAACCAAGGTCCGCGGGATGATGGACCTATCCGTGTCAAACTAAATGGCTGCATACACAGTACATACATGTACATACTAAATATTATATATATATAAATATAATACGTATACTGTGTATGTAAATACCCCAAAATCAAAATCTTCGTGCGGAAAATGATGAGAACCCACCACAAACGGTTGGATTTTGGGTTACCTGATGTTTGGGTGAACATGCACACCTAGGAAAAAAGACGGGTCAGAGGACTATCTGTAGCTGCGTAGCTTATCAACCGCCCCAGTTGACGGGCCCCCGTGGTCGGTTCTGGCCAGGTGTCGTGCTTCTTCAAAATCATGCGCCATGGCATGAAACATCCTAGCTTCGTAGGGCAACTAGTTGGAGGCGTGAGGCGTGTGGAGTTGAAACAGCAACTAGTTGGGATGATCCGTGCAGCCGTTGGATTCTCATTGGTGGTTGAGCCATCTCAAAAATACTTGAAATCATTCCAGATGCAGATGGAAAATGTGTGAAACCACCTGCCACCAACCGAAGTTGTTGCCTCAAACTTCTGTAGTGCCCTACGACTTTCCGGTGCATTAAACCGGTTGGGAAAACATCAACGCATCGGCCGGATGTGCAAATCACCAGCCCACCAGGAAAGGTGCCACAGATTTCTTGTTGTGCCATTGGGGAGTCACGCCCGTGGTACCACGGAAAATCATATGGCGGCGCACGGCAACTCATGAGAGAAGCCGGCGCCGCCATACGAGACGACTGCCGCACGTTTCGAGGATGTCAGCACTGTGATGCTCCATGCTCCCCAGGAAATCATCCTAAAACCTCAAGGATGGTGAAGATCGTTCAGAGATGCCCATGAAGGGCCCGGGGGGGAACATCAGGAGCGCCAATCCTGGCTACACTTGATCCGCGACCACTTTCAAAGAAAACATCATTGCTGTGTGCATAGATTCTTGAGATCATTTCCATCCGGCCTCTTTTGTTGTTCAATTTCTCTTAAAAAAATCTCTCTATGTCCAATTCAGCGACAAAGCACCTTCTAGTGGTCCCATTTCAATAGCAACCGAGGAGACTTGGAAAGCTGCACCCGCCACAACACCACGCCATCAATCGGAGGGTTGTATGAAATTTGGGCCATATTTGGGATATCTTGGAAAGGTGTACCACATTGTGTCACATTTCATTACCATCCATGACCAATTCAATGACCGAAAAACTTCATCTTCGCTAGAGAAGGCTGGCGTCGCGTCGGTTGTGCTGAAGGGTCTGCGCTCTCAGATGGGGTCCCTGCTTCCAACTGCGTCTCCCGACGCGAAAGATGGAACCGGGGCTCGCTGCCCAGGTCCGCAGCCTCTTTCAGGTCAAAAAACAGCAGTTTTTGACATATCGTTTGGTAAATTCAACCATCAGCAATCTCTGATTTCAGAAATCGAGGCCAGTCCAATTTCATCAGAAATGGTATAGCTAGAAATTGACATTGAACAGTGGCTCCGGGAACACCAAAACAAATCCATCCTACTGTGGATGGAAGAATTCTGCACCAGTTGGTAACTCTTGGGTGATTATAAAACATGGTAAGTAAATAATACGATTGCAATGGGATAAACATGGATAAACCATCTACCAACTGGTGCAGGATTTCGCAACCATCCACAGTATGAAGAAATCACAAGCTGTAAAAAATCATGTAGAAACCATGGTAAAATCTGGCATCTGAGTTCAGGGGTATGGTCTCCACCCAAAAATCCCAACGCTTCATTGGTGTCCGCAGTCGATCTTCATCACCAAGGCAGGTCTCGTGCATGGTATAGGGATATCATGTGATATCATGGGGATCTAAAACCACCAACTATCAAGTTGCTAAAAATTGAGTGATAGAACAGTAAGCAGAGTAAGTGGTGAGTCAATGTTACCAATGTTAGTTACAGTTACATATCTTCTCAATTGCAACTTCCTCACAAACGCTTGATGTGTCCCACAGGCCTTGGCAAGTGGAGAAAAAAGTCACCATCCCGTCTTCAGCATGAAAAACCTATCTTGGATAATCTGGTTGGTGGTTTCAACCCCATGAAAAATATTGGTTAATAATACTAAATCCTCGTCCCTGATGTGGAAATCTACAGTATATAGAAACACACGAACCAGTCAATGCGGGAAACCCAATGCCGTAAACCCTGACTGGTGATGGTTTATAGTTTCCCATCAAAATGCTGTTTGCTTGGTGGTAAACATCCCACCCATCCCACCCATCCCACCCATCCCACCCACGCTTGCACCTCACGCCACTGCCCGAGCGGCCTGCGCCGCTCGCATCCTAAGAAATTCATGTGCAAATCGAATCTCTGTGGCGAGTTTCTTGCTGAATGAAAGCTGCTGACACAAAGGATCTGTTTTTGCCAAAAAAATATGGAGCTTGACCATCTAACATCGGGATTTCAGTACCACTTGTGTGACAATTTCAGCAAGAAAACCTTGTTTTGACCTTTGTCCCAGAAGAAACCCATACAAATCCGGCTCGGAGCGTTTTAAGCACGAATGGATGGTTCTGAGCCAAAATTTGGGCAAATCAAAATGACCACAAAAGGTATTCCCCCAGTCCTAGTTTTTCATCAGATTTTCAGCGACCAAGAGCCCTGGAAATCCCGGAATCTAAACTGGAAAATGGCGCTTGGAATCTTTAAAAATCCCCCATAAGGAGGGATAGAATCGGATAGAAGGCATAGATCCAATTAAAACTGCACCCCCAAGTCCAGACGCAGTTCTTCATAGAAAGATCATCTTTGAGCCTTCGGCCCACAACTGCCAAGGGCCAAAACTCTCGCCAAGGGGCTGCAAGCGTGTGTTCTTGGAGGGTCGAATCCTCTTATTCTTTTGTCCTGGCGCCGCATGGTCTGGAATTTAACAGGTCAATATAGATATAGAGTACTTGGGGTTGTCTGAATACAGGCTACAGTCGTACAGTATCTCCTGTTTTTCCAATGCTTTGTCATGTTGCTGATGAAAATTGCCATTCATTCCCACTTCCTTGGGTGAACATCCAATTTAGCCAGTGGGATGCATTCCTGAGTCCCACGTTAGATATAACCACTTAAGCTCCAGTAATTTCACAAAGCTATGGAAAAATCACCATGCTTAAATCGGAAAATCATCGGTTTGAAAAGGCCCCATTTTCTATAGCTATGTCAATGACCGGAAGGCAACATCATGTAATATCATGTAGTATCCAATTATTTGAGGTTATTTGCATGCTAAAAAGACCTTTCAGAAGACATGGTCTTGAATCGCTCTCTGAATCTCTCTGAATCTCCACGTTCTGGCAGTGCCTGGGTGTCTGAAGTGGCAGAAGTCGCACATCACGCCCTTGTTGCACAATGCCTGGAGCCAAAAGATTGAGCAACAACTGATTGGTGGGCCAATATGGAGGTTGAAACCCACATCATCCCTGTGATTTTGGGATTTTCCATTAATTAATTTTTTTTCCATTATAAATCATCCAGCTCTTGGGGGTCCTATGGTTCTCCCATAGCTGGTGTCATCCATGGTCATCCCATTCTTGTGCTGCCTTGTCCTTGAACCAAAAGATGCACGGATTGCAGGAATCCGGGTGAAGTCTGCTGCCCAACGAGGCGCGTTCTCCTGGGCTCGATCTGTGGAACCCCGGTGTCATCAGGCGTGGTTGAGAAATTCGGGAAATCCTTTAAAAATGCCTTGGTTTTTACTGGGAAAATAGTGGATTTCCCTGCCACGTTGATGACGCCGGAGGTTTTTTGTGCCCTTGAGCCAGGGCTCCCAGCCATTTCTTGAGAAACTGACAGGATTCCTACTTGTTTCATCAGGGGGATCACCAAGCACGGGAAGTCAGATGAGGCCATCCCCAGCTCAATGATGTCGTTGTTCCCAAAATAGAGCCACCAATTTGCAGAGAACTGGTTTAATTCGGGGTAGCCTCGATTTTACCAACAAAACAGTGGGAAAAGGACATCTATGACTATGACTCCAAGTTGATGAATTTGATCTCTCCACTTGTTATTCGAATATGTCCATATATATGTCCATCATGTTGAATCAATGTCGACTTTTCTAGCTGGCCTGCTACCCCTGGTTCCACCGTTAGGCAAAATCCTCATGTCTTGGTGCAAAATCTCCATTCTTGCGGGTGAAATTTCCAACCTTCAACGTTCAATGGGTTACATCCCGATTTTTTTCGGTGAAATCTCCTATAATTTCCTACTGTTCGTAGATAAATCAACATGTATTCGTGCCTAAAATCTCCCATGTTCAATGTTTTACACCATTTACATCCTTTATGTTTACAAGATTAAAGCCAAATCTTTTCCAGAAGACAATCGTTGAATGCCTAGGATTCCCCATTGTTTATAGTTAAATTCCTACCGTTTATCACTGTTGTTTTTATCTTCTTATGGGGGATTCTTACCATGACTTAGGAAACCTCCAGCCATGGGGTAGCCATAGGAGTCGCCTTCGTCATTGTATGGAACTTGAGTCAAGGCCGCTTCGTCGTCTCCCGCAGCCGGTGCTGGCTGCCTTGGATTTTGAAGACGGAAGTGGTGCAGTTCCAGTGAACTAAGTGGCTATGTATAACTGGGAGGTCAAAATTCACCTGCGGGGATCACAGAGTTTAGTTTTTTCGATTATTTTTAAAATATTGAACATCCAATGGTTGGGGTACCCAATTTTGACTACCCAACTATAGTGAAAAAGGGCTTATATCCCAACTCATGTGGGTTACCATGGAAAATTGGGGCAATCTCTACAGTACTAAGGTCACCAGGAAAATTGATGTATTTTTTTCGGATGTCAAAGTTCATTAGGGAGTCCAAAATTTCTGAGAGATTTGGGTGCATTTTTTTAACCTACCGGGGAATTATTACAGTAAATCAATATGTGGCCCGGGTTTACCTATTTGGGTTGCGCATCCCAATTTGTAAGTGGTTCATAACTCATGTATCACTGGGGTATAACCCACATGTATCATGTAACCAGCTTGTAATATTGTTAGTAGCCACTGAGTAACTGAAAACGCACATCAAAGGGGAACATGGGGGAGTTAATGAGTTATATAGGGGGTTCCATAAGTGGGGGTACCCCCAAATCATCCATTTTAATGGGATTTTCCAGTCATAAACCATCCATTTTGGGGTACCCCCATCTATGTAAACCACCATATGACCCGTGAAAATTTTGCATTCATGGTATAGACTTATGATTCAATGGATAGAAATGGTGTTACCAGCCAAAATTTATGGAGGGTTCCTCAGTAAACTGTGTTTTTGTTTACCGATTCTGGGAAATCGTACCTGATAGGTATAATCGTATGTGTATTGTATACAGTAGATGTATATTACAACTATATACTCTATATATATACCATATGATCTCTTTTCCGTTTCACGCCGGCGGTGAGCTCACGTGTTGGTGAAACAATCACGCGTCCGCACAGCGTGTCTACAGGCAACCAGTCATGTCGTCCAGCTTTGTGAGCGCTGGTCTGACTCTCTTGATGTTCACGAAGCCGGCCCTTCGGAATGCAGCATCGATGCGTGTCATCTCACTTGGGGACGCCTTGATGTAGAGGCAACGTTGGTAAGCCTTGAAGGTCGAGCCCCACGGTAACTTAGGCGTAGCCTTTACGGGCAATTCCAGCACAGAGGCGTAGTCCTTGATCAAAGCCTGTAGCCAGGCAGCAAGGCGGAGGTAATCATATTGCTGAGTATGGATCACCTCGTCTGCTACGCCCCATTTTTTCGCAGTTGCATCATACCAAAACCCAATGCGCTTGGTCGTACCTTGGTAGTGGGCAAGGAGCTGATACGAGCAGAGCCACATAGGAATCGCGTCCTCGGCTGTGAGAAGTTTTCGAAGCCAGTTGTGCAGCAAATCGATGGAATCCCCAAATCTAACGCACGGAGATGGTTGCACGGCACTCTCAAACCCTAGGAGACTGATGTCAAACATCTCTTCGTCCTGTTTCTTTTGGGTGGTTTCCCATCTCTTCTCATCATCTTTTGCCACTTCAACCTTGCTTTCAACACATCGAAGCCCAAAATTGACCAGCCTCTGGTGGAAGTGCTGGCATGCAGACTGTCGCTTGTCCATGGAGGATATAAGGCGTGCTCGACACCATTGCAACCTGGTTGGCGACTGGTACAAGGCCATACCCGCAATTCGGTCTGCATGGTCATTTCCTCGACAGGCCCAATCCTCGATCGTTTCTGAAAAATCTTGCGTCTGGTGTGAGGTGACTTTCACCACATGTTGGATGAGGCTACTTGTTTTGGCCTTGTGAGCAAGGCGGAAGAGCTCATTCCACAAATCGTGGTCATTGTGTTTGGCCTTAGGGGGTTTTACATCATGCCTGAGGAAATACCTCAGTCTCTTGTGGACAAGGGAGTTGTCCGTCCATATACTGAAGGGCACCTTAGCGGAAAGTCCAAAACGGCATGCTGCAATGGCTGCAGTGATCTCACCCCGCAGCACTGTTTGGTACAGACCAACCACACCGCCGGATGCTACCGGCTGGAAGGCAAAGTCTGGCAGGCTTGCCAGAGAAACGCCCCATGTGGCAACCCGCATGGACGGTCGCCGCGGTTCCGTGCAGGATCCATCTACGAACAAATGGAGATGCTCTTGTGCAGGCTTTGCAAGGAAAAATTGTCCAGTTGTATCTGGGATCTCATTCAAGGCGGCCCGAAAATCTCGGTCACTTTCGTCCTCCACAAACCATCCATGGAGCTTGGTACAAGGAGGCATGCTTTGGATTGTGGCCAGTGCTTCCGGTGGCGTGTTCGCCCGGAGGTCTGCGAACCCTTGGCACTCCCAAATACGGTGCTCGACAGAGTCTTCTGCTTGGCAAAATGGGCAATCCTTGCTTGGCACCTTGCCTGCATGTATCTGCTTATTGCGGGTATAAAAGGTGCCGTTCATGCTGGTACGGAGGAGGCCAGCTCCGTCAGGGGAGAAGTTTTTGGACGTCGATCTGGTGGTGGGCAGATCAACTCTGTTAAGACCTTCAAACTCCTTCCGGTTACACATCAAGGCACCCATCATTGCCCCCCATGCATGTTGGAGGCGTGTCTTGAGTAATTGGATGGGACATTCAAGAACATGCCATCTCAATCCCTCATGGTCCAGGATGTACCCATTGTGATCCCACCTCCAGTTGAGCTGGTGCAACCTCGACAGGAAAACCCCACCAGGTCCTGGGTCAAAGTGCTTGGGGGGTGCTAGGGTCAATCCCGTAAGGACGGGGAACATGAGGTCCGGAACGCATGCATTCCTGAACATGAGGAGTGTATCCATGAGGATGTAAAACCCCGGGTCGCATCTCGGCGGCAGAAGTAATGCCTGGAGCAATGGGGAAGCTCCCTTCTTGTTCCATCTCATTGCATTCATCATAGAAGTGCGGAGTTTTCCTACATGCTCTTCACCTAGTCCAACATTGGAGGCCCCATGGAGGCTTCTCGGCCAAGCAACGGTGCAAATTGCTCTCAACTTTTGTGCAAAAGGGGAAACGCTCCGGTAAAGAAGCCCCCAAAAGACTTTGGCCTTGGCAATCCTACTACGGATGGTGTAGTTGGTGAAGCGTCTGGTGTAGTTGAGGTGTCCTCCAAGGTCAGCACAGTGGTGGCTGATACGGTGGCCGCGGCTCACAAGGGTCTTACGGTCATCGGCCGTGACCGCCCAGAAATGGGTTTTCTTATGGTCAAGTCGGATGTCGACCATGGTGGCAAAACACTCCATGGCGGCGTATGCACGGCATGTGGCGTGCACATCAGTGGATTTACACTCCCAATTGTCTACAAAACTGATGATGGAGGAGGGCATTGCCTGCTTGGCAACTATGTGGTGCATGGCCATGTTGAGTAAGGCCATTGCCACGACACTCAGTGGGTCACCCTCAGGGTATCCGGTGCATGCCAAATTGGGTCCAGAGCACGTACCTCCAACGATGAAGTGTCTCTGAATGCGTGCGACTGCATCATGCCAGGACTTGACAAAGGTCTTAGGCAGCCCATAATGGAGGGCACACGCAAATACAACTGGCCTTGGGAGAGTGTTAAAACACTTGCAAACATCTGTGACAAACCCCGAGAGCGTGGCCCCTGCAAAAACTGAAGCTTCAATCTCCTGGGAAATCTGCCACCAGATTGTTGAAGTGCTCTGCTCTGGTCTGTTACCTCTTAAACCTTCGTCTGCCCATTTGTCCAGGAATCTGAGGCATTCCTTTGCTCTCATGGATGCCCAAGTACGGTAGGGGAGCGTGAGCACCGTGATCGGGCGGAAATCGGCTGGGCTTGAGGCTCCTTCCTTTTTCTCCACTGCTGTGATGTGTCCAACCAATGTTTCTTGTGGCCAGGGCTGGACTCCCTGTTCGCAGGCTTGGAAATGTTGGACCAACTGCTCAGTCAGCATGGGTGGCATGCGTAAGAGGTCAGTGCGGCTGACCCCATCAGGCCCTGTAGAAGTTCTGGCCTTCTTCTGTTGTACTGCTGCTATCCAAGTTTCCTTTGTGATGGCTGGCTGGATCATTGGTGTATTGACCACGGGGGCGTCCAACAACTGATTGACAAATCCGTCCCATCTTTCCGGTGGGTCATCTGCATGTCTGTTCCACATGGGGTTCCACAGGTCTTCGAAGGCCTTGAAGACTTCATGCGGTGTTCCCTTCATTTTGTCTTGATGAAGGGTATCACCAACCTCAATGGAGTGTTCTGATTCAAGGGTGATGCATCCCGGGATGTGCTGTTGGATACGCAGCCACACATTGGCACAACAGACTTCTTGGCTTGTGTCAAAGTGAGATGGGTGATATCGCAGAGTCCTTCCATCCTCACTCACTTCAACTACTTCGGCATGAGTTTGGGTCACTACCGACTGGACCGGTAGGGCACGTCCTTTACCAACGTCTGCATAGATGACATTGGGGTCATCCAGTCGCCGGGCTTTGGCTGCCTGAGTGCGTTTTGCATTGAGGGCTTTTTCCAGGGCCTGGAATTCTAACTTGAAGGCATTGAAGATGGCAAGGCCCACTGCATGCTCTGGGGGTTGTTTGGGCAGGTGCACCGGGGCTCCAGGTAGGATGAAGGACCTGTGCGCCCACATTTTGGAAAAACCACCTGGGAATCCTGATGCTCTACGGATGCTTACCCAGAGGGTTTCTTTGTGCCGAATGGTTGCGGACTTTTTGCACTCCTTTGCGACTAGTTTGGCGTAGCTCTGCAAGCGTCGGAGCTGCCTAGTCCATAAGGTGTGTTGGTAGCTCTCACCCATGTATTGGATTTGGTATTCACTCTTGCGTGATGCCTTCGGCGGTGTGATGCCTGTACTTGCTTTCTTTGGTGCGGTGACTGTGCATCTGCCTCGTTGACACTGAAGCAGTCCATGCTTGGTATGGGAACGAAGTGCCCGGTCCACTTCCTCTTCAAGGATTTGGAAAACTTCAGGTACTGTCTTCCCAACTGGAACGCTCTCAGGCCAGCTATGATCACCTGGGATGGTCTCCCATGGGATGGGATGCGGCTTGTACCATATGCTCACTGGGATTGGCGGGGTAAAGTCAGCAAACTTCCCATAGACAATGGCGTGGTCTGGGAAGTAGGAATCACAAGTGTGAACCTCGAGCAGTTTCTCTGCAAGCTCAGGCGAGACCCACACATGGTCTTTTACTGAGTTGCCCTTGCAGGTATTGGCAATGGGTTGATTCCATCGTGTGGCTACTATTTCTTGGAGCTCGCGGAATCCATATTTTTCCCAGAGTGCAAATTGTGGAAGATCACTGGTGAGTGCGTTGAAGTCTCCTACAATCACCCTGTAGCCCCTTGCTTGGATCACTATCCTGTCAGTCAAGTGTTGTAGGAGGCCATCTGTTCTGTCTTTTGTGGCTTTGGTATGGGCGTCCCTGGCAAATCCATAAAAGCAACCCATTTTTATCCATTGTGACTGGACATGGATGGCACAGGCATTGAGACGGCTCGTTTGCCACACTTGGTCATCCCAGCTTCTGATTGGGCAATTGGACAAAATTGCAACTCCTGTGTGCTTGCCTCCAATAGCTCCCACGTTCTGGCTGACTGGGGCCGCCGGTGCTCCATGGATAATCCGCCAGGAGGTCTTTTGGTGTTTAAGTTCCTGTCGAAATCGGGTCAAGCCTGCAGAGGTGAGGTGAGTTTCTGCCATTCCCCAAATCCTTGGCTCTGGGTCTTCTCCCGGCAAAGAATCAAACATGGACGCCTTTCCCAGTGCTCCGCAAGGGTTTGTGGTCCCAATGATTGGGCCTGGGTTTGTTGCTTCGCCATATCTTTCAGCCCCTGGTGTGGGGTGTGGGTTAGGGATTGAGCCAGCAGTGTCATTAGGCAGAAGTCCACAGGCATTCTGGTCACCCGGAGTTGCCTGGATTCCGGGGCATCGCTGACTTTCCCTTGCCACAGTTACGAGTGGCTGGGGGTCAGTAGCAAGATGTCTCACCCCTCGCGCGTTGGCATGCTGTCCAGGGTGGCTTCTTTCTCCATTCGGGGGAAGGTTTGTTGGTGGCTTTTGGAGCATGGCTGTCTCATCATTTCCAAGTTGTCGGTGGATGCGCAAGAAACTACTTGGAATCCTCCACCAATAGATTTCATCCACAATGGTTTGATAGATTTGTCCATGTTGTGGGTCGTATCCTTCCTCGATCATCGTAATGAGACATCGCGTGTCACAGCACCCTTGTTCATCATTGGGAGGTGCAATCTCCAAACGCAAGTAATCCCCTGAAGCCAAAGTGACAACTTCCTCCGAGTGAAGGCTCCAGTACACTTCGTTTCTCCATGCAAGGCATGGGAGGCGTGTGTAGGTGCAGAAGTTTCTCAATCTCAGCACTGTCAGGAGTTGCTGGATGGTAATCTGTTCCATGATGTTGCAAGCAACCCTGAAGTACTGGGCATCCCTTCTTGGCGCTGGAGGATGCAGAGTGACGTCCAGGAGTACCAGTCTCATGTCGGAGTGGGCTGGTGGGTCTCTCGTGTGTTGGATGAGTCTGACATACACACGTTGTTCAGCGAGGTCCCTCGGTCTTACACCAACTTGATGGATGTTGACAATCTCGGCATCATTCCACCCCAGGGCCCGGGCAATCTGATGTCGCTGGAGGATATTGCTGACCAGGTTAACCTGAATCTGCGCAACCTGCCCATTGGTGGCAAAAAGGGCAGACAACTGCCAGTTTGGGTCTTCACTGTCGGAGTCTTCTGAGTCTTCTGTTGTGGTATCTGGGAATTCTACTCCTTCAGGGTCATGGGTAGCTGCCGGGTTGTCAAAAACTGCAACAGGCGGTGCTGGTGTTAACCTGTGCCGATTTCCTGCTGCCATGAGTGATACGACATCAAGGTGGATGTGATCTCCAGGTTCCCAGTTATCAGGCATGTGGCTGGGTTCTCCTTGGCAGTTTTGGCGTGGTGATTGGTGGTGTGTCTCCTCTTCGGCAAAATCGGGGGCAGATAGTTGCCACAATGTTTGGTCAGGGCAGTGTGGCACCTGGATGGCTTCGGCAAAATTGTGCTGGTGCAAGCTACTCTGAGGGAAAGTACTACCAAGCTTTTCAATTGGTTCCATTCCGGGCGAATGGACATTGGCATTGGTGGCTTGAACCCCAACCATAAAGCTCAGGAGAAACACGAATCGCGCAAATCCTCCCCTTATGTTTCTACGCAGTGGCGTTCTTCTCGCGAGGGGAGCCTGACCTTTTGGCTTTGGTTCACTTTCGCAGGCATTCTGTTGACCCGGAGTTGCCTGGATTCCGGGATGGGGGTTGTTCTGCTCAATCATGTGCCTGGGTGGTGGCACATTGTGATCAGCTGCGGCACCTGGGTCATGGGCATTCAGCCCTGGAAAAACCGGCTTCAGTGACACAAAATGTGCCACCAGCCGGTATAGTCATTCAAAGCGGCCTTTCTTCGGGTCACGAGAGGCAGTGAGCAGTCTCTCAATGTGCGCCAGTTGTTCGGCCATCTTAGCGTCCAGGTGCTGCTGCATGTTGACTGATTGGGAATCCACCTGCTGTTGGATCTGGCCAATTTGGGTGTTGACCTCAGCATGTTGCCTGTCTTGTTTCTCACGCTGCTCGTGCAGATTGCGCTCCAAGGTTGTAAGGCGTTGCTCGAGTCCTTCCCATTTCTCCTCATCAGCCATCGGAGTATCGCCCTCGTCCATGTGGTGGTGGGGCGGCTTGCCTGTGTTCTGCAGCCTTTGGGCAACCTGGGCAGCAATGAGATCAAGCTGATCACTTCTGGGTGCTTCGACGCTCTTTTTCAGTGCCTTGACAGGTGTCTGATAGCCACCCCAAGGGTCATTTTGCTCCCATGGGTCAGTGCCTTCTCCATCCTTGGCTTTTCCCTGCAGGGCAGCAAGGGTCTTGGCGGATCCCTGGACATAGGCAGGTGGTGCTGGCTTGGCCTGTTTCTTTGGAATCTCAGAAATGAGAACGTCAGAATGCTGCAGTTGATAAACTTCATAAGGGGGAAGGCATGTTGCCTGAACTTCCCAAATCACCCCAAGTCCGCTTGGGTCTCTTGACTTGGGCTGGCATGGTCTCGCAGCCCATCCCCACTGTTGGAATAGTTTGGACAGCGCCGCTCTGTTCGATCCATGTGGGAAAGGGCCTGCATGGAAAAGAAGGAGCTTCTCCCCCTCAAGGTAGGGGGTAGCAGGTTTGTGTTGAATATGCACCTTCTGCGCATCCTCTGCTCGTACCCTAAGGCCAAACCTGGTGCCTGATCGCACAATGCAGTTCCATTCAGTGGTGGATTGGGAGGCAATCGTTGAGCCTTGCTTGTCGGCTTTGTTAAGCCAGATGACCCGGTAGGCAGCGTCTGGTGCACGCCCATCGATGGTTCTCGGTTCGAGGTAGTGCCCATTCTGTCCAGACCTTTGGAGTTCCCGCTCAATCTCCGTCTGCTCGAGTCGAAAGCAGACGCTGAAGACAGTGGCCTCTGCTGGCCGCATCCTTTCAAGACGGTCGTTCAGGAACTGTCTATCCCATACATCAATAATAGGGCTATGCCCATTGGTCGGCTGGAGGCATGGGATGTCGGCAATGATCTGCTTAATGGGCCTTGCAATGAAGTCCTTCCATGGAAGGTGGGTGAGCTCATCCTTGTAGGTGACAGTGCGGAGAACGTGGTTGGAGACCTCTTCAACTCGAACATGTCCAGATGGGGCAGCTCGTTGGACTTGATCAGTTCCTAGTTGAATCAACCTAGCGATGAGGATGATGGCTTCTCCTGTCTTTTCACACTTGGCCGGGAAACGTAGTTGGGTGCCAATCCCTTCCAGGATGGGGTCCTGGTAATCTAGGACAAGGAGTCCAAGTGCTTTCTGGGAAATTGCCTGGGTCACCTTTAGGTAAGGGATGGCTTCATGTGCTGACACAACAACTCCGCTGGCTTGGGGCCCAATTCTGCCAGAGGCAATTTGGGTGAGGCTCTGGTTGGCTGAGTTCAGGAACACTCCGTCAGGAATTGATACATCAGCCGATGTGATCTTCAGAGGTTTCTGGGTGATCTTGTTCTTGACCTTCTTCGCTTTGTTCCCAATTGGCTTGTCCTGACTCGCTCGTAGTTTGATTGCTGCTTCAAGCTCACTGGAAAGGACAATCTGGAACTTCGGGATCTGTTGGTTGGCCAATTGCTTGATTTCTCTCCACGGGTCAGAGAGTCTCATCGCTTTCAGGGTGGCCTGGCGACCCAGCTTGTCAATGACCAGGTGTGCTCTTTCCTTAGCTGCCTCAGGAGGGACACCCCTGTCGGTGAGCAACTTGGCAAGGTTGTCAGCAAGTTCTCCATTCCCCGCACCCCCAAAGATAAAGTGTCTTGGGATTGATGCAGCCAAGTGGGTGTTGCAAGCTCTGAGGTGATGATCAAACAGGGACCTCCACGTGCATGCAGACTCGATCTGTACAGGCGTGTGCCTAAATCCCTGGGTACCAAAATCATAGTCCAACGCTGCTTGCATGAGCCAGCCTACAGCTTGGAATCCACAATCATTGTTGAAAGTGGATCCACAATCAATTGTGTGGATGGAGATGTGATTTCCCAGTCCCCGCGTGGCAAGAAAAAGCCAGTCTTTTCCTCCTGGTGTGGTGAAGACCTTCATGGATCCTTCGTGTAGTTTGATGGCGACTGGAAACCAGTGGTGGTCTACCCACAAGGTTGTGACAATGGTCCCTGGTGTTGCGTCAAAAGGGGCCAACCTACACATCCATTGCTGGAGCATGGGTTCCATCTCTTCATCCAATGTTGACTCCGGCATGATCATGATTTCTCCTACCTTGGCAACACCCGCTACCTGGAGCATGGCTAGGTAGAAAGTGATTTCATCCAGTGCAACCCATCCTTCTTGGTGGTGGAGCAGTTGGAGGCGCGTGCAAGGCTCTTCTGATCTTAGCAAATCAGGCATGCAACCGGAAATACATGAATGGGAGTTTCCACAACCTGGCATTTCCCGGAGATAAATCTGCTGCATCGGGGTGGTGGCTTCTCCACATTTCAGCTGAGTGCCTACACTGGTGTTGGCCCTGACAGGTTGGGAGAAAACATGCAATCTGGTCTCTGCAAGTGCAATGGAGCCAACTGTCGCATCCGATTCAACTTGGATAATGTTCGGCTGTGTGTCGTCAATACGAATGACCTGGACGGGATGCTTGGAAAGCTGCACCTCAGTAGTATCTCCCTTGGCTTGGATGGTATGTGCAGGAAGGGATTGGCCAGCCTCAGAGTGTCCATCTTCATCAGCAGTGTTCACACATTCCCTTGGTTCCTCGGCATTTTGGTCTGTTATTTGGTCAAATTCATTGGCCCATTCCAAAAGTTCCTGGGAAAAGCTACCTCGATCAGGAGAGCTCCCTGCAGTGGTGGCTGCCGAATCTGTGGCATGGGATGGCTTTTGGCTGGGAATTCCAGTAGCAAATGCGGCAATTCCTCCACATTTTGGTCTGTCATCCTCATGGTGAAGTTTGGTCCTCTTGTGGGGGGTCCATTCATCAGGACGTTCAGCCCCATTGCACAAATGCTGGGGGCCACTGCTGGAGCCGTTGATGACGCAGGCATCTGCAGGTTGTGTGCTGTGCGCGTCATGGTGATGGATTTCACCTGGCTCTTTGGGCTGGCTGGTCTCGTTCCCTTGCTTTGCTTGGGTCTCTGGGAGGGTAGGTATCACTTGATGTTCGGAGATGACCTGTGGGCTATGCTTTCCTCCATCTTTGGCATTGGAGGGACAATGCTGGAGGGGTGTTGGCCAGGCATTATTGTGACCCGGAGTGGCCTGGATTCCGGGGCGTGAGGCTTCCCAGGCATTGGATTGGCTCAGAGTTGCCTGGATGCTAGGTGCCTTGGCTGCTTCACAAAAGGGTTCGGCAGCTCGGTCTGCTGGTACGTCACCCATGGGTTCAAGGTGCTCACAACCCAATTGGCCCTCAGCAAGTGGGTAGGCTGGTCGTTCACATGGTTGTGCTTGGCAGGAACTGGTGGCTCGGTTCTTGTCCGTGTGGTTTCGGTGGCTTGCTGCTGCATTGGCGCCCTCCTTGTTTTCACTATACCAGGCATTCTGTTGACCCGGAGTGGCCTGGATTCCGGGGCTTGGACATGGGCAGGCATTTGTGTAACCCGGAGTTGCCTGCATTCCGGGGTCATGGTTTTGCCCCTGGACAGGCTTGGCATGACCGACAACGTCTTCACCAACTTTCTTTTCCTTGTTTTGCCAGGCATTGTGGTTACCCGGAGTGGCCTGGATTCCGGGTTCTTTCTTCAGCTCGTTGTGCATACGTTCCCATTCGGCGTTGGGGGCCTTGCCGTTGGCTAGCTGGTCTGGGGAACCCTGCTCCCAGGCATTCTGTTGACCCGGAGTGGCCTGGATTCCGGGGCGTGAAGATGGCCAGGCATTGTGGTTTCCCGGAGTTGCCTGGATTCCGGGGCAAAGTTGTTGCTTCAGCGTTGGCTTAGGCGGGTTGTCGTCGGTTGAATCCTTTCTGCAGTCCCAGGCATTGTGGTAACCCGGAGTGGCCTGGATTCCGGGGCTTTGAGGATGCCAGGCATTCATGGTTCCCGGAGTTGCCTGGATTCCGGGGCTTGGGATAAAATGACTCGAGGCAGTCAAAACATCATTGGATCCATCCTTGGCAATAGGATTCGGCAGGCTTGCGTTGGCAGGTTGATGCTGGGGCACGGTGGCTTTGGCCAAAATGGCTTCTGGTGCATCTTGAAAGGCTTGACTTTGCCAGGCATTATTGTTACCCGGAGTTGCCTGGATTCCGGGGCTTGAGACCTGCCAGGCATTTTGGTAACCCGGAGTTGCCTGGATTCCGGGGCAGGGCCTGCTGTGGTCAAATGGAGTCTGGGCTTCATCAGGCTTGCAGTTAGTCGGATCTGCTCGGCCATTGTGGGGCTGTCCATGGCTGCAACTCTCCTGAACCAGTTGTCCCGGAGCTTGGATGTACCCTTTCTCACTGGATTCTGCCTGGGCAATCTGGGTGGGTCCCATTCCAACTGCATACGTATCAGCCAGTGTGGCATGGACTCTGGCAAAATAATTGCGGAAAGTCGGATGCGCGGCAATAGCAGGCTGAGTGACTTCAACTCCTTTGTACATGGTTACAAAATGGTTCCACAAGCAATGCACCGGATGCATGACGTCCAAGTCAAACAGCAATGCACGATGGGCCATGACCTGTGAAGCTACCCAACATGATTGGATTGGGGATGCTAACTGACCTACTGCAGCTATAGCAAGACGCAACCTGTCCCCCCAATACAGTGATGGGTCCATCCCATTCAACAATCCGATTTCCCACGGGTGCATATGACGTGTGGCTGGAAGCTCCCCAAAATGGGTCATGACTGTTCCTCCTGTTGGGATGAGGGCTCCAAAAAGGCCTTTGGCTCTGAGCCTTTCTTCACTCAATGGATGGCTTCGGCAAGTGCAAGGGCAGGCGCTAAGTTGATTGCTCCAACCATGCAGAGCTGTTTTGCATACTGAGTCCAAAGTCACCAGGTTCTGAGCTAACCCTCCGAATTCCTGAAACTTCCCTGCCTCGTACCTGTCGAGCTCAAGCTGCTGGATTTCCTTTGATGGCCAAATTGGGATTGATGGCAAAAGCTCTCCTACAGTTGGCGGAGGGACCAGCTTTGGCAATGGCTGCAGGCTAAAGCTAGGCAAGGAGTTGTCAGCTAACACACACCACCATCGCCTACGTCGGCTTGGCAACAAGTCGCTGAGGTTCAGTTCAGAGTGGCATTTGCGGTAACTTGTGATCCTACAAAACTCTTGCAAAACTTTTCCAACTTCAGGGTCCTGACCTGCCCCCTCAACGCACTCCAAAAGGATGGTATGTGACTGAAGCATGAAGGCAGCTTTCAATGTATGGACCAAAGAAGATGCCCTAACATCGCCTGTTTTGCGTTTGTCCCCCAAAGCTGACCACGGCTGACAGCTAAAGCCCGACGTGATCCATGCTGGTGATCCATGAAGAGCGTGCAAGGCTGCAATGGTTGCATTCGAACCTAAGTCTCCCTCGATCACGTGCCTTTTTCCCTGAGCAGTCATGAGCTGACAAAAGGGTTTGCGGAGTTCGTTCGAGGCCTTGGTTGAAATTCCAGCGGCATGAAGGCCTTGTGCCATGCAACCAATCCCTGTGCAAACTTCAATTGCGTCATGGAACATGAAAGGCTGCGCCCTATGGTGAGCAAGGACATGTCCATCCAAAACTTCAACAGCAAGGTATGGTTCCTTCTGTTTCATGGTTACATCCAGCAAGGCGAAAGCTGGGGCATCGGGCAAAGTGCCCATCACAACCACAAGCTTCCTACAAACAGCTGTCCTCACCAAGTGTTTGCAACCTGAAGGATCAAACACTACGGTGGGCGCCAGAAAGTCGACCTGAACCCCAGTTTGCACCTCTTCCCAAGAGGGCTCCAGATGAAAATTGGAAAATCCCATGGCGACCAACCCTCAAGGCGTTCAGCTAAGCCCAGTCTGACCACTGGGAGGCACCTTGAACCAGACTCCATATGATCTCTTTGTATTGCACGATTACTGTTTTTCATTTGGGAGAGGGTACCGGTGGGTTACATTGTCAACATACCCAGCTGACGAATGACTGAGGATTTCCTAAAGTGAGGGACCCCAAAATGACCCAAAATGAGATATCTTAGACATGGAAACCAATGGAGATGAGATAAGGGCGACTCTGATGATGAAGAACCCCCAACTGGTGACTCACAAACCAAAGCCTCTGAGTTGTCGGTAGGTCTCACCTGCCCTAGCTGCGAGCGCCAGTTACCGGTCAACGTGGTGCCACTTATGCATTGTATGTATGCATGCGCACATGCTACCAGCATGCCGCACAAGGCTGTGGCGAAAGATTCAAAAATAGGAAAACTATAGGAAGGGTTGTTTGTTGTGACTCACGGATGGCAGAGCAAATCCACTGATGGACCGAAAGGTGGTTGGAGTTGAGTTTTTTCGAGTGGTTGCAATGGTTGCAGCGGTCACCTCACTCACAACTCCTGGATGTAGTGTGGTGTAGCGCAGTAGTTGTAGTTGTAGTTGTAATTGTAGTTGTAGTTGTAGCTGCAGCTGTAGCTGAAGTTGTCGTTGTAGTTGTAGTTGTATTGGTGTTGATGTTGTTGAAGTTGTAATGTTGTAATGTTGTAATGTTGTAATGTTGTAGTTGCGGCTGTAGCTGTAGTCGTAGTTGTAGTGTAGTTAAGCGTAGTTGTAGTGTAGTTGAAGTTCTAATTGTCTTAATTCTAGTAATTGTAGTAATGGTGTAGCGCAGTAGTTGCAGTTGTAGTTGTAGGTGTAGTTGTAGCTGTAGTGTAGTGGAGTTGTAGTTGTAAGTTGTAGCTGTAATGTAGTGTATGTAGTTAGTGTAGTGTAGCTGCAGTTGCAGTGGCAGTTGCAGTTGCAGTTGTGGTGTGGTGTGGTGTAATTAGTGTAGTGTATTGTAGTGTACTGTAGTGTTGTATACTGTAGCATGGTATAGTGTAGTGTGGTCTAGTGTATTGTAGTGTAAACTAGCGTAGTTGTAGTTGTAGTGTAGTGTCGTGTAGTGCAATGTAGTGGTAGTTGCAGTTGTAGTGTAGTGTAATGTAATGTAATTAGTGTAGTGCAGTGTTGTGAGTGTAGTTCTAGTTGTATTTGTATTTGTAGCTGTAATGTACTGATGTTTAATTAGTGTATTGTAGTGTAATGTAGTGTAGCTGTCATTGTAGTTGTAGCTGTGGCGGTGGTGGTGGTGGTCGTGGTGGTGGTGGTGGTGGTGGTCATTGTCGTGGTGGTCACTGTCTTGGTGGTCATTGTCGTGGTGGTCATTGTCGTGGTGGTCATTGTCGTGGTGGTCATTGTCGTGGTGGTCATTGTCGTAGTGGTCATTGTCGTGGTGGTCATTGTCGTGGTGGTCATTGTCGTGGTGGTCATTGTCGTGGTGGTCATTGTCGTGGCGGTCAATGTCGTCGTAGTCACTGTCGTGGCGGTCATTGTCGTCGTAGTCGTCGTAGTAGTCGTCGTAGTAGTCGTCATAGGTAGTAGGTAGTAGGTAGTAGAGTAGGTAGTAGCTAGTAGCTAGTAGCTAGTAGCTAGTAGCTAGTAGCTAGGAGGTAGGAGGTAGGAGGTAGGAGGTAGTGGTGGTGGTAGTAGCAGTAGTAGTAGTAGTAGTAGTCGTCGTCGTCGTAGTCGTCGTAGGTAGTAGTAGTAGTCGTCGTCGTCGTAGGAGGTAGTAGTAGTAGTAGTAGCAGTAGTAGTAGTAGTAATAGTAGTAGTAGTAGTAGCAGCAGTAGCAGTAGCAGTAGTAGTAGTAGTAGTAGTGGTAGTAGTGGTAGTAGTGGCAGTAGTGGTAGTAGTGGTAGTAGTGGTAGTAGTGGTAGTAGTAGTTGTTGTAGTAGTAGTAGTACTAGCAGTACTAGCAGTGCTAGCAGTACTAGCAGTGCTAGCAGTACTAGCAGTACTAGCAGTACTAGCAGTACTAGCAGCACTAGCAGTACTAGCAGTAGCAGTAGCAGCAGCAGTAGCCGATTAGTAGTAGTAGTAATAGTAATAGCAATAGCAGTAGCAGTAGCAGTAGCGTAGCACGAGTAGTAGCAGTAGCAGTAGCGTAGCAGGAGTAGTAGCAGTAGCAGCAGGAGTAGTAGCAGGAGTAGTAGCAGGAGTAGTAGCAGGAGTAGTAGTAGGAGTAGTAGTAAGAGTAGCAGTAGGAGTAGTAGTAGGAGTAGTAGTAGTAGTAGTGATAGTAGTAGTAGTAGTAGTAGCAGTAGTAGTAGCAGCAGTAGGAGTAGCGTAGCACGAGTAGTGGCAGTAGCAGTAGCAGTAGCGTAGCAGGAGTAGTAGCAGTAGCAGCAGGAGTAGTAGCAGGAGTAGTAGCAGGAGTAGTAGCAGGAGTAGTAGTAGGAGTAGTAGTAAGAGTAGCAGTAGGAGTAGTAGTAGTAGTAGTAGTGATAGTAGTAGTAGTCGTCGTCGTCGTCGTAGTCGTCGTAGGGAGTAGTAGTAGTACTAGTAGTACTAGTAGTACTAGTAGTACTAGTAGTACTAGTAGTACTAGTAGTACTAGTAGTACTAGTAGTACTAGTAGTTACTAGTAGTACTAGTAGTACTAGTAGTACTAGTAGTACTAGTAGTACTAGTAGTACTAGTAGTACTAGTAGTACTAGTAGTACTAGTAGTACTAGTAGTCCTAGTAGTCCTAGTAGTACTAGTAGTACTAGTAGTACTAGTAGTACTAGTAGTACTAGTAGTACTAGTAGTACTAGTAGTACTAGTAGTACTAGTAGTACTAGTAGTAGTAGTAGTAGTAGTAGTAGTGGTAGTAGTGGTAGTAGCAGTGGCTGCTGTAGCAGTTGTAGTGCAATTAGTGTAGTGTAGTGTAATTAGTGTTGTGCAATGTAGCGTAGTTTTTTTGTACTTGCAGTTGTAGTAGTGTAGTGTAGCGGTACTTGTAGTTGTAATTGCAGTTGTAGTTGTCTCGTCTATCTATCTATTATCTGTCTATCTGCAAGCTTGAAAACAAAGCTATTCTGCGAGACTTCCTCAGTTTTTGCACTTGCAAACATCAAAAACGGAGCAATTCTGTGAGACTTCTTTAATTTTTGAACTTGACAACGTCAAAAAAGAAACAATTCAGCGAGACTTCCTCAATTTTTCTGTTGACAGCATCAGAAACGAAGCAATTCTGCGAGACTTCCTTCAAAATTGGAAAGTTGAGTGCGGAGGGCCTCGTACCAATGCGTTTTGCGATTTTTCCACTCCACCTGTCTTAAGCATTGCCCCTGCCACTAAATAGTGCAGCCAGGTCACACGAAGTGCTGCACCTGTCACGCAAAATCATCCCAGCAAACCTGAAGATCTGATGCTCCAAAATGCAACCCCTCTCAGGAAATCAGCGCCCGGACCTCTTAACAGCTCTGATGAACATGTCTCTTGTATTGCGGCTGCCACGGAAAATGCATCTTTGCAGATCCTCTTCAAGTGCCCCACGCTTGCCATCGTTTTCAGAAATGCTACAAAACCCTCACGTTTTGCTCACTTCTAACACGGTGCGCAATCCTTTGTGCCTGCCACGCGAAACGACACTTCAAAGACCAGAAGTGGCGCGAACATGTGGTGGCTTTGACATTTTGATTTCGAAATGTGCTTCGCGCCACAACGGCGTGCAATTGTTCATCTCTCATCTGGAAGGCTGGCTCCGCACCCGCCGCTTTAGCGAGCCTACTTTTTGACCCTCCGGAGCCACAAATCATTGGAAAAACACAGTGTTTCGCCACTTTCCTACCTTTTCGCGCACCTGGATCTTCTGCCTTCTGAGACTTTCTCTTTTTTGATCTTCTTTCTTCTTCTCTTCTCTTCTCTGACTCTTCCCATCTCTGCTTTTCATCTGTCCGTATTGTCGGAAGTTCCTTCGATTATATATATATATATATATATTATATTACATATACATATAATCATATATATATATATAATTATATACATATCCAAATATACATGTGTAGAGGGAAAAAGAAATCCTTGGGCACCCCAACGTCAGTTGTTGTTGCAGTTGCTGCTGTCGAAGCTGCAACTGTTGCATTTGCTGCTGCAACTGCATCTGTTGCATCCTGACGCTCCGCTCAGGCGGCTAATGAAGCTGTCGATATCTTGGATTCGCTTAAGGATACCATTAGAATTGCAAAAATAGAACACATATGAAAATATTCCCGATTCCTCAAGTGGTGGGTTAATGGGAAAATAAAACATGAACCCCAGGATATGGAAGCTACCAAGAGGTTGATCTGAAGTGACTGCTCTGCTGTGTCCTTCATTGTTGGCGGTCAATAATGTTCACCAATACATCCCGTGTCCCTTGTTGACCACCTCATGAGTTGTACTGGATAGTCCACATGTTGTTTTTCTCTAGATGCTACTTTCTGTTGGTGGCATATGCATCTTTTGCTGAAATCAGATAATCACCACTTTTGTTTGTGTACATGGCAATGTCGGTTCACCCGAAATTTTGGCAAAATCGCACAATTCCATACCATGTTTTGCAATTCTAGCCCCATTGCTTGTGGTTTCTTCATCAATCTGGGTAAATACTGGTTAACCAACCTGAAATGATTCCAGTGACGTCGCAACGTGAGATCTTTAGAATTTACCCAGAACCAATGTCTCATTGTTTTTGCCGCTCGCCAAACGTCCCAATATTTATATATATATATGTACAATATATATATATGTATATATATCCACAACCATAATCACCCCTAGTCTTTTCCCTTAATCGATCAAATATCATTCTCTAAGGTTTTAACCATAGTAAAACCACTGCAAACGTCAGGCTTTTACGCAACGGCGAGGTGCTGCGACTCGAGAAGTTGTTGCCGCAGCTGCTGCTGGACACCGGTAACACCGTTGCTGGCACCAAAGGCCAAGTGCCTGCACCGTAAAGTCCGATTACCCTCTGGTAA